CAGATGGGAAACTATGGGGTCCTGACCCAATCCTGGGAGAACTTTGAATTCAGAAGATACTGAGAGGTAGAACCTTAAGTGATGAAGTCTGGGGGGCAGGCAGGCTGAGTTTCTGCAGGATGATACCTAGATTTCTAGGTTAACTATTCTGGTGCTATTTGTCATGCATGTGATGACCATGAAGAAACAGGTGTTTGGGGGAGATCAGCCGTGTCCTTGTTACATGTGAGCTCAGGGGCATCTGAGTGAAGATGTCCAGTGGGCCATCGAGTAGACAGACCTGTCATTTAAAACGGAAGCTGCATTCTGGATAAACATTCCGAGAGTAATTCATTGCCATGTTTAACCGAGATTATAGAGAGAGAAGAAAAGAGGAGAATGGTGAGTGGCCAATGACTCCCCTTCTTAGCAATTCTTCCCTTTGGGAAGTGTGCCATGCACTGGCTTAGCCAGTGTCCCTGCTGCTTCCACATGACTTGCTCTGCATCCAGCTCTCAGGACCACATGACGAAAAGCAGTTGTGGTTTTATTTTCATTAACAGGAACAATCGTAGATAACTTCGATTTATGTCACCGTTTTATGGAGCAATCGTGTGGGATGACAGGGGATGTGTTGTTGTTACTGATCCGAATCTTTGGCCCGGGGGGAGGGGGGTGTCCCAGGGGAGGCCGCCCCAGGCTGCGGACTTCCAGCTTCTGACTTGGCCACACCTTGCCGTCCAGTCATTGGCTCCTGTGTTGGAGAAGCCACGTCCCAACAGTAGCAGGACTGCTCCCTGTCTCCAAACAGCTCTGCGTCTGAGGCTCCGGCACTTTGCTTTCTTAGTTGTAGTTGATTGTGTGTGTGTGTGTGTGTGTCTAGGGTTGGCGAGCAAGTATTGTACCCTTATTATGTCTTTTGAAAGCTTTGAATTGGTAGATGTCAGCTTGAAGAAATATAGTGAGTTCCTCCCAACAGTTTGAAGCAATGTGTGCCCCAGCTGTTCCAGATTATTAAAATGGGCAAGGATTTGTGTTTTTTGGTGAGTTATGTGGAACTTTTCTGAGTCTGAGTAGAAAAAAAGTTTTATGTGTTTCAAAATAGAATGTACTTTCTATTTCTGGAAAGCCGTTAGAAGGACCAGGCTATTGGTTTGTGCGGAATTCGGATTCTAGTAGGAGGGCACCCATACCCGGTCCCACCTCATGTTGCATGTGCCTAGAATCTTAACTACCGGATATTATCAAGGCCCTTTTTAGAGCGGTAATAATACATTTTTATAGAGTGATAAATGGTACAAGCAACAAACGTCGCCTCATAGCTCTCAGAGTTTTATACTACATTTTCTCGTTGCTTCCCTTGGTACTTAATTTTCTGCTGGGCCCTTCTCCTGCCCCTCCATTCCCCAGTCGCCATTTTTACTTTTTGTTAGCTGTTGAACTTTACTTATTCAATGAATCTGTTCTTTATTTAGTGACAAAGTCACTCATGCAACGTGGTATATTTAAGGTAGTGGGGAAAATAAGATGTCTTGTCGTGGGCAGTGATTATTGCTGCTGATGGACCTCTGAGATTTCACACAATGTCTTTCTTTGGATAAAGGATTAGGAACTATTGCTATTGTTGCCATGTTACTGTACACTTGTGTTTAGGGAGGTTCATAAGTGCTGTTTGGTGTGCACATGGGCACAAGCAATACAAACTCAATGAGTCCTTAAAGACCCTCAGGGAACTAAAGGTCCCCCTCCCCCGTAACTGCAATGAGAATAACAGAGTAGGACATGGGGTGTCCTATCACCTTCTTGGAGCCACTCAGACTCCCTTCTCGAATATTCCTGTGGTTGACCCTGAGAATCATGGGAGGGATGAAGAGTTTTAAGCAGGAGAGTTTCGTCTTCAGATGTTCTTTGTCAAGTGTGGAGCTTGGATTGAGCATACAGGGCCACGTGGGACATCAGCGAGGAAGGAGGCATTTATGGAAATTTAAGCGAGTGAGGTCAGGGTGGCGGAGAGGGAGGGAAAGGGAAATGTTCTAGAGGTTACTGAACGCGAAGCTTACAGGACGTGGAGACTTTGGCCACTGACGATGAGACTGGCAGCATCTGGGGTGATTCCCATTCTGTATGTGGGTGGGTGGTGAGGGGGTCACGCAGACCCACAGTGTGACAGCAGTCCCTGGCGCTGTGACTGCAGGGCAGTGCTTACCACCTTCTGCCCATTTGTCACCTGCCAGAGGAGGTGGAACAGCGCCTCTGCCCTGCCCACTCCTCCAGGCTGCCTTGGAGCAAATGAGGACTTGTGATGATGTCATGACGCAGACAGTATCGTCCTCTGTGCCCCACGTTTATAAATGTCAGGTAAAGTTGTTTTGGAAACAGGTAGACTTAATTGTCATTTAAGTCCCTCCCTCTCCGCCACCCTGACCTCACTTGCTTAAATTTCCATAAACGCCTCCTTCCTCGCTGATGTCCCACGTGGCCCTGTATGCTCAATCCAAGCTCCACACTTGACAAGCCTTTTGAGAAATGACTTAGGTCATTAGTGAGAAGGTGAAATTGTAAACCTTGAGCCTTCATTTTTTAAGAGCCTAATTTACTTGGTACTAAATGGAGTTTCTTGCAGTGGAGAGACCTT